GAGCCTATGGGCGCCGAGTGGCTCCACCAATCAGGGCGGGAGGAACCCGGCTCCGCCCAGGAACCAATCATAAAAGGAGTCCTATTCCGCGCGTATGTTTCCGCGCTAGTATTCAACACTTAGGACCTTTGCAGAATCATGGTCATGTGCTCAAAAGTTGGGCACTTAGGAACTGTCACATATTTATGGCTTTTGAACTCTCCTAAGGTTATGTAATCACAATCTGTAACCTTCTTAACTGTCTCCAGATAAGCAGATTCAATGGGGAGGCCAGATTTCCTGAATGACTGCATAATTCATTTAACAATTGCAGTGATTTGTTTAACAACTTAATTGTAGTAAAAAGGTCATAACATGGTACAAAACTCAATTATCCACTATCTTGCTTAGCAACAGAAGTGTTGAGTTGAATTGTGGCCATAAGTCAAGGACTACCTGTGTATATAAAAAATGGATAGTTTAAAACACTGATTTTGGTTTGCAGTTGGGGTAAAAAGATAACATTGCAATTTTACATTAAAGGCAAATAGTGCATTATTTTCTTTGGGCTGTAGCCTAAATAAATATGCTTGCATCTAGAAATTTGGGAGGTATCTGTAGATATTTACTACTTATGTCATTTTTCTTATTTTGAATCAAGATGAATGAATGCCATTTACTATTTCAAATATTCCACTGTAGTAAAAATAATGTTTTGTTTCAGACTTCGTTCCAAACACATCTGATGATGAAGGACGGTATAAAATAGGAAATCAGGCAAATGTTGGAATATTTAATCTGAACAAACTGCTTAAGGCTTTAAGCCCTTTATTTAGTCCAAGACAAAAGCAACTGTAAGTAATCCTTTATAATGTCTTCTTAGTTAAAAGAGCTGATGAGATGACTGTTCATTCTGAAAAGAAGACATTTTCCTGCAAGATAATAGTTTGAAAATTGAAATTATGTTTTACAATGGAAGTGCTTGCAAAAGAATAAAAGTGTTCAGTAAATTTATGGAAACGACTATTTTATAGAGTAAAATTTTGTACTGTTGCTGTTAGGACTGAAAAAGAAAAAAAATGTGATGGGTTTTTTATTTTTGTCTTTTTGCTTTAGTTTGGTCAAAAATTAAAAACATGCCTAGAAAGACATTTTCTTTCTGAATATCATCTGAAGTTTTAGAGACAAGTGGGAAAGAGACCATTTGAAGCACCAGTCCCTTTCATTATTATTATAAATTTGTCCCAAACACATCTCTGGAATGAATCATTTAAGTAATATCAGTTCAACTTTGAGTGCACAATTGACTCTGCAGAAAAGGCAATGAAGATGAGAGAAATGGACCACGATTACACCAATATCAAATGCTTGCTAACTATTCTATATATTTTGTCTCATAAAAATATGGAAATTAGGCAGTGATTCAGCTAGGATGAATTCCTAATTTCATAAACTATGGTTTATTAAGCCAGGAAAGGACCTTTGACTCAAATGCTGAAGTCTAGCTATTTCTTTCATTTTGTAATGTCATGCACCAGATTCAGCAATGGGAGCTTTTCTAGGCCATTGTTTCTTGGAATGTACAATACCCATGACCCACACATTGCAGGATTAAAACTGGTACGTAGGAAGATGAAATAAGGAGCCGAAAACTTATTACAGTTCAGAAATTTATGGTATATTAAGTAGGAATATTATTTCCAAAAAGCCTTAGAAATCAGCAACCCACTGATTTGATTTAATTTGATTTGATTTATTCAGTTTGTATGCCACCCTATTCCCGAGAGACACAGGGCGGCTAACAATCACTGTGTCTGGGTTTCTTTTTTTTTCTTTGTTTGAAATGTGTTTTTATTTTTAAACATTAAAAAAAAACATTAAAAAAAATTCCCATCCATTACATACAGCATGTCGTTTGGTTACAAGTGTTTTTGCATCCATATTCTCAATTACATTTACAATCACAGATGTTTCATCTAATATAACTAAATACCTCACTTTCATTGTACAACATATATTCAATTACGATTTTTCTCCCAATA